GAATATTCAGAATTCTTATGCATCAGTTTTCTCTATAAAATTAATTTTGCACATTTATCCTGTGTTTTTTTTTTTTTTTTTTTAAATATTTCTGGCTGTTTGCTGTTACAAAATTAGTAGGGGTAATTTTGCTTCGAGACATTAGATATTACAACTTGAAGAAGGATGCAAGTTGGAAAGTTTAGAAGGGTTTGAAAGCAAGATTTATAGACCCATGATTCTAGAAGATTCTAGAAAAATGTGACAAAATGAAAGATATCACAAAGGTATTAACATGTAATGGGTGTATTTCACAGAAGGTTTGCAATGAAGTTCTTACTTTTTGGAGAACATCTAGAAGAACAATGAAAACATAATATTTGAATGTTTTTTCTGATACAGAATCTTTTTCTAACGTGTTCGTCTTCCCTTTATTTTCTCTACTGTTCACTAGATACAAGCATGAAAAATATTGAAAATGCTTCTAATAGTATCACATGGAGAGGCATTATAGAAAGGAATTTTTTTATAATAAAGAAATTGAAGCTGGCAGTTTTAAAAGATAATCTAATATGTCTTAATGCATCATACACAGGTTTGACGCTAGGCATTGCCTCACCTGGTGCAGTCATGTGAACATTAAACTTATCTCTGTAGATCCAAAATTTTCTGACTAGTGCCTTTTCAAATTCTGCTTCCAGTGCCTGCTCTAAATTCTAAAAGTTTGCCATGTTTAGATTTTTTGCTCGTGTGTGTCACTAAATTCTAAAATTCTGCCACACCAGCTCTGTAACCGCCTTTACCATATATATTTCATATTTCTTCTGAATTTCTATTACTAAAAAATAAATTAGCACCTTTTCTATACATTCTAAATGCATCTAGTTTTTTGGAATAACAGAAATTTAAAAATCTAAAATGAAAAGGAAGCGTGTTGAATAAAAAAAAACCAATACATACAGAGAAAGAAAATTATTCTTCAAATATATATACAGTTTATTATTTAATTACTCACTTGTAAATTAGCCAGTTTCAGCCTTTACTAATTTCCCATTTCTATTTCCTCCCCAGAATGCAAATCACTTAGATAGTTTTAAGTTTTTAACTGAGGTTTTTGATGTGCATGAGGACAGAAAATGTGTTTTTAATCTCCGTTTGCTCACTGCTACATTAGTTCCTTGCCAGCTGTGATAATTTGTAACTTTTTGTCTGCATTATTACGCTGCCAGCATTTGAATTAGTTATGACAATAGAGGTTACTGAGCCAGCTTAAGTTAAAATTAAATTGTATAGTCTTTGACCACTAGTCCACCTTTTTTTTGAATTTTATCGTTCTTGTTTAATAACGTCACCACAAGTTGCAATTGATTTTGTTAGCATAAGACCATGCCTTTAAGTTCTTTTTAAATAAGAGGCTTATTTAAACCTTTGTAGTTACTTTTAGACATAGCAATAATTTACTTCACGTCTATCGGGGGGTTTTGGACTATTTAACTTTTACCAAATCAAATAAACCCTCATAGGTACATTGTGGAGAGGTTGGCAAGTTAGGAGATAAAGCATGCAGAAACTAGTGAGAACAATAGTTTGCATATTGAGAGAAATTTCTAATTCTTAGAAAAGATGCTTAAAGAGAAGGAAATCTATGTAAATTAGCCAAAATGTCTGGGCAGGCTTCAAATTAAAAAATACGTTTTGTTAAAAAATACATTTTGTTTACGTTTTGCATAAATGTTTTGTTGAGGGTTGTTGCTATAAAACATAAATCTTTTGTAGCTTTTAATGCATAATTATCCTAATATCAATGGCCTAAATTGCATGTATTTTAAACTGTGAAATTTTTATTGGATTGTGATTTTAATAGGGCTTTTTAAGAAATATTCTTAAATAGTAAAATTTAATAGTGGTCATGTAAATCCATAATGATTAAGGTTATCTAACCACCTAATTTAATTATTTATAACTAACTGCTTACCCTTAAAAATATCTATCATATATTAAAGCAAGTTATTGCCTTTCATTAAACCTTATCATAGTAAAAGATAAAACACAAAAATGTAAAAATTCATATAAAACTTATTCTGCATATCTAGCGAGACCTGAAATAATACAAAGCAACTTAGTATCACCTTTGGTGCTTTAGTGGCTTATTGAAACCTTAAAGTATATTAAGTGGGTTACAACCCCTGGAACTCTACAGGAAGCTACGACACTAACTGCATCAGACAGAGCCCAACTAACTTTCAAAACATGCCAACTGTGCCCACATCAAGTCTTTCAGTTTTGTTCTGATCAGCAGGTCTCTCTGTAGGCAAGGAGCAGTGGTCTCAGCAGCCAGTCTTTTGTTATAAATCATTCTGATTATGATTTTACTTCTCATTTTAACCTATCCCGCTTGACATAAAATCTACCTCTTATTTACTAAACCTCCAGATTGAGCAAGTATGTGTTAAAATGAGACATTAAAAAATCAGTATGAAACTATTAGTAAAACGTAAATAAAATGTCACTTATCTTCCTTCAAATATGCCGAACTATTATAAGTGTAAAATATGTAATGATATTTGATAAATTTCATAAAGTGTATTTTATTCTCAAACTTATTAGTAATTAATGTTAACTAAGTTATGTTTAATAATAATGTAGCCTACTTACGGATATATTTTATTTTTTGGATGGTATGACAAAAGTGAAGTTCAGGCATAGATAATATTTTTAATTGAATTTATAAATTTGCTATTTACTCATAGGTCCTTAATTTTTTCATTAATGGTCCTTAAAAGTCCTTAAAAGTGCTTAATTTCCATGTGCAGAAATGTGTACGAACTCTGAAAAGAGCTTGACTTCGGTTTCAGATCCTCATTTAAAATTAAGCAAAAAAGCAGTCTTGGTTTGACATATATTTGAATAACTCAATTAATTTAGGAGGGCGATCAAAACATAAGCTCTTAAAGAGGGAAAAAAAGTTTTCTCTTTCCTTGGAAAAAAAAAAAAAAATTCCACAACCAAATATGTTTTTTTGGGGCGGGAGTGCTTAATTTAAAATTTCCATTGCCGTGTTCTCTTCCAATGAAGGGTGCCTTCTGAATACTAAGATTAGGGCTGCTGCATCAGTCAAGTAGTTTCCTGAAACTTTATGAACTTTTTCTTAAACATGCTTTTGTATTTTCCTAATTAAAATGCTGTAAAATACCTATTTATATGATCTTTGTATTTTTATATTCATGCTATTTTGAAGGGTATTTTTTTCTTGTTTAAATGTTGATTATTCAGTTAATGTTCTAAAAATGGCAAATAGCAAGGGACAAATGTGATCAAATTACACAGATGTCTGCTACAGGATCAATTTTAAATGTACCTCTGTACCCTCTCAAAGAAAAAGGGGCATATAATGAATGATCCTTTGTCTTTTTGCTGATACAAAAGGGTTTGCACAATAACTATTTACAAATTCATGACATCAGTTTAAAATCAATTGGTTTCATGTCCTATATTGTGTATCAATTTAAAGGGATGCATCTTGAAGATGATCCTTTCACACTATCCCGTATAAAATGTTATTTCTCTGGGATAGTACAGCACTGCTTTTGGTAAAAATTGAAACTGTTTCTGGCAATAAAATTTTTCATTTTAAAAAAAATTCCATATATTTCTATGAAAAACTCACTACATCATGCTACTATCTATACTTTTCAAATTATTAAACGTTTTTTCTTACTTCTCGTATTACCAGCTACAATTGATTTGTTGTTTCATAGGACCTTTTTCTGTGGATCACTTATGAATTTTGTGCCATTCCTAGTAATATATGATTTTAGCAAGGTTCGTCATGGTCCTCTGAGTACATCACAACAGCCACATGATAGAAATTCATGTCTGAAGTGTAGTGCAGTAGTTGCTAAGGCTCTTTGACAATTCTTTTTGATGAACATCTTTGTTTTTTGGTTGTATGACATTGGTGTTGTGTAGTTAGTGATGCTTCCACTTTGTGTTGACATTCTTTGGAGGAAACCAGCACACATTCAGTTGTGCCAGCACAGAAACCAACACAGATTTTTCTTTTCTAGTATGATAAAATTTGTGCACTCTTAATTGTCATCATTTGAATGCAGGGAGTCCTTCTTTGTTTATCACAAAAGCTATACACTTCCATATTGTTAAGATATTTCCAACTGTTAATAGTATTGGTGATATATATATTTGATGAAGTCTAACATTAGGAATATAAACAAATAAATAAGCAGAGATTCATCTAAATTAACATATATTGAAACACAAAATGGCACAAGTACAGTAAATTCTACATGGTAAAGTAAAACAGTGACAACAACTAAAAAAACGTTGCCAAGCGAAAAAATATAAAAAGCATGTTGCCACACATGTTGTAAAATACAAATGGGAAATATAATCACAAATAAAAGTTATTTGCAACACTCCCCCTTGATTAAATTTCCCTCAGTCCTACACAGAACCTTTGATTGAACAAGGCTTTCTTTTGCACACTCTTTGTGAACATGTCTGCTGCATTTGAACTGGAAGGCACATACGTAAAGTTTAACAACTTCTCTTCAACCTTTTCTCTCAAGAAAAAATGCCTGAGTTCAATATGTTTGTTACGCTCTGAAGTGACATGGTTTTTGGCTAAAGAAATGGCACCCTGATTATCAACAAATATGCTTTGTGGAAAGTTTAAAAAATGTTCTCTCCACAATTTCTTTAAAAAAAATTTTGGAACCACAGTACTTCCTTGGCTGCGTGGCACATTGAGAGGTACTCAGCTTCAACTGTTGACAATGCAGTCGTCTGTTGTTTCTTACTGCTCCATGAGACAGCTCCACCTGCTAGTAGCACCACATAGCCACTAAAATGATCGTCTGTCAATCTTATCACTAGCCCAATCAGAATCACAAAACACTTCCAAATTCTTTCCTGTCTTTTGGAAAGTCAGCTTTAATTCCTTGGTCTGTTTTAGGTAACGAAGGATATGTTGTACACCAGCCCAATGTTCCTTGCTTGGGCAATTATTGAATTGGCTCATGTAAGTAGTAGCAAAAGCTAAATCTGGCCTTGTTCCTCCTGCTAGGTACAAGAAGCCCTCCAACAGCCTGCCTATATTTTAATGCTCCTTCAGCATTCAACATGTTATCCTTAGTGGCTGTTGTATATTTCATACCTGGATCTAATGGTGTTGATGCTCCTTTAGCATCTTGCATATTAGTTGTTTCCAAGAGTTCACTAGCATAGACACTTTGGTCAAGAGTCACACAGCTATCTTCCCTTCTGCTTATCCTAATTGAAAGAAGGTGATGTATTTCTCCCAAGTCCTTGATTTTAAATGTAGGCTGCAATATTATCCTTAAATTCCTGAATGATGAATTCTTTGCTGGACATTACAAGAAGATCATTCCACATACACACCTACAATTAACTCCTTTTCTTTATTGAAGTAAACACAAGGATCTGCTCTGGATCTTGTTAGGCTCGTTGATTTCAGAAATTTATCGAGGCACATATTCCATTCTCTCCCAGACTGATGAAGTCCATAAAGGCTTCTCTTTAGCAAGCAAACTTCTCTATGTGTTTTCTCGTGCAGACTCGTGGGTGGCTATTCTATGAAAATTGTCTCACTCAATTTTCCATATAAATAGGCTGAAGTAATATCCTGTTGATGAACCTGGCAGTCTTGCTCAACTGAGAATGCTAATAAAGTTCTAATTGATTTTGTTTTTATTACAGGAGAAAACGTCTCTTTGTAGTCAATTCCTTCGACTTGGGTGTAGCCACGAGCAACTAAACGAGCTTTATATCTTTCCACTTGTCCATCTTTGTTAAGTTTTCTCTTGAAGACCCACTTACATTTCACAACTTTCCTTCCTTCTGGCCTAGGCACTATGTCCCAAGTTTCATTTCGTTTTAAATTTTCCAACTCTTTTTCCATGGCTAACTTCCATTTTTCTGTATCTGGACTAGTTAACGCCTCTTCTAAAGTTTCAGGATCATTCTGGAAAGCTTTCTTGGGTGTTGAGCCTTCATATTTCTGTTTCTCGGATTGTCAGCTGCGCTGCATTCCACTTGTAATTCCATTTATTTCTGGAGGATTTTCTTCATAAATCTCTGAATTTTCCATGATATAATCCTTTGTCCACTTAGGCGCTGAAATTTGTCTTCTGGGTCGAGTCTTCTTTTCTGGTATATCCTCCACCTCCTTCTTTTCCTGTTGAGGGCCTTCGTCTATTACTTTATTTTCAACTCCAGAACCTTGTTGTGGGTGCAATGTTATAATGTTTCCAGTCATGGAAGGTTTCTCTTCAAATATGACATCTCGGGAACAGATTACTGTACTGGTTTCTTTGATGTAAATGTGGTACCTTTCATCTCCATCATACCCAAGGAGATAGCCTGTAGTTGCCCTTTTGTCCATCTTTCTCCTCTTCTGAACTGGGATATGAGTATAGCAAGTCGATCCAATGATGCGCATGTGTTTTATTCTGGGTTTCTTTCCCATCCATAATTCATAAGGCTTGAATTAAGACTTGCCTGTCCTATTCAATATATAAATTGAAGTACTGACGAACTCTGCCCATAGAAAAGCTGAAAAGTCCACTTCCTCATTCGAGTATTTGAGAGTTCTGGCCATTTCTAGGACTGTTCTGTTCTCTCGTTCAGCACTGCCATTTTGTTCTGGTGTATATGGAGCTGTGAGCCTCTGGGAGATTCCATGCTTGTTCAAGATCTTGCGAACAGCTTGGTTGTCAAATTCTCCACCATTGTCACTGAGTATTTCTTTAACCGTATGCCCTAAGTTCTTAGCGTGAGCTATGAAATTTTCAAGCACATCTTTTACTTCTGATTTGTGCTTTAAGAAAAAACAGTATCAAAATTTGATGTAGGCATCTTTGAAGATTGCAAAGTAACGATATTTCCTAAATGACTGATCAAATGGCCCACAAATATCTGTCGAGAACAATTCTCCAGCTTTTGTAACCGCTTTCCTGGTTCCAAACTTTAAACGGTGGGATTTTCCGTATACACAAGCTTCACATAATTTCATATCAGACTTAATCTTAATATTCAACTCTTTCTCTACAGTGGCCTTTACATGCTTTTTATCTTGGTGACCCCATCGTTCATGATAAAGTTGGAGAGTTGATTCATTATTCTCAGTCATGTTGATGTCAATGTGAGTTTCAGGAACTAAGGTCTTCATCACGGCTTTGAAGAGACCCCCACCAGCATTTCTTGTTCCATGCAGAACTATTTCACCATCTATTTTTAAATAGCGGTCCTTAAATGTTGATCCAAACACACTGTTTTGATTTCTATCTTGAGATGCTAACACAGAAAATAGATTTTTACTTATTTCTGGAACATACCAGACATTTTCAAGATTTTTGATTTGATTCATCCCATTTACAATGGTCATTATCTTGATGGTGCCTTTTCCAATTGCTGGCAATGACTTTCCATTTGTCACAGTGATGCTATGAGGAAGCTTAAATCTTTTGAAGTCTATAAAGTAGTGCCTGTTATTGACGACATGCTTCGAGGCCCCATTATCAATAAACCAATCATCAGAATTCGTTTCTGCAGAAAATATTGTATCATCTACAGCTAGAAGTGTCATATTTGCAGCAACACTGTTTTTACTTCCCTTGTTTGGCCCTATATGTGGACTAGGTTCGGCGGTTTTCCATCAGCTATCCATTTCTTGCATGTTCTGACCTAGTGTCCTCTCTGGCAATAATTACACTTGCCATTGTTTTTCTTGTTAATAGATGATTTCCGCTTAAATTCCGGATTTGCTATCAATGCTTCCTGATCTAAAGTTTCTAAAAAATTTGGATCTTTCCTTAATTCTCTTTCATGGGTGCACAATTGTGTGGTTAATTCATCTAAAGTTCTCTTTTCATCACTAAGAAGTAACCAACTCGATTTGAAAGTACGATAACTGGGAGAAAGAGTATCCAATATTTTACAAATCAACAGCATTTCTGGCAGTCTGTTTTCTTCCTTATTTTCAAGCCCACTGTTTAGTTCACTCCATAGATTTTTCAATTTTGACAAATGAGCTGCCATATCATCATTTGACCAACTGAATTTGAAGAACTGTAAACATATGTTATAAAGTTGGTTATCGGACGAATCTTCGAATACTTTGTAAAGTTCAGGCCAAATGTCTCTTGCGCTGTCAAATCTCATTACCTTTTGTAAAGTGTCTTCAGTCATGGAGTTCGTAAGAACCATCATAGCGCAATTATTTGCTTTATTAAAAACCTTCATATCATCTCTAAATCTCTTTCGAATCTCTTCGGCGGCCGCATGATCAGGCTCCTCTGGCTTCTTCAGTTTTCCTTCCACGACTTCTAAAGCGTTTTCGTGATAATTTAATACGAACTTAATTCTATATTTCCAAATAGGCCAATCACTTTTTTCGCATAACGGCTGAACCAATATCTTTGCAGCTTCCATTTTTGCGAATTAATTTGCCGACTCACGTAAGGCTTAAGAACTGCCGTGTTAGGCTTACGAACTGCCGGTAATGTTTATCTCCACTTCGCTCATAAATTTCCCCGCACAGTTATATCATGCTGGGCCCATAACCTGATGAAGTCTAACGTTAGGAATGGAGACAAATAAATAAGCAAAGATTCATCTAAATTAACATATATTGAAACACAAAATGGCACAAGTACAGTAAATTCTACATGGTAAAGTAAAACAGTGACAACAACTAAAAAAACGTTGCCAAGAGAAAAAATATAAAAAGCGTGTTGCCACACATGTTGTAAAATACAAATGGGAAATATAATCACAAATAAAAGTTATTGGCAACAAAATTAACCACATATGTTCATACTAAGGACTCTTCAGTGATATTTGTTTGCCAGATTCAAATATTAAAGGCATAGGAATGTGTATTGTAACTAAAAATCTTAACTGTCAAAATAAGTAATAGACGCAGTCAAAATTCTTTAATCTGGACTCGTCGGGACTTCGGCGATTCCGGATTATTTGATCATCAGTTTCAATCTGGTAAGATGGCATTAAGAAATTATAAAATTAAAAATATGAAACTGTAATTTATGAAATAAAGAGCAATTATGATCTAAAGGGTATCAAAATTTACAAAAAAAAAAAAAAAAAAAAAAAGCTTAATACAGTCAAAAGTTGGTAATTCGGACCTTAAAACTAAAAACTTTCTGCGCATACGCCGCGTTGACACATGCGCATAGACGTTTACGCGTGCGCGTAACACCTTTACGACTGCGCATATGCGTGTGCGCAAGCGAAGAATACGTTTTTGCGTGCGCATTTAATGTATAACGGACGGTATAAGCTAAAATTATCTAAATATCTATTTCAGTTAATGTTGATGATTGTGTTGTTTTCCTTAATCTTCGTGTTGGATCCGGCTTATTATTTTTTTTGCAGACTGTAAAAGCAATTTTATAAAAGTAAACTTAAACTTTCGATTATGTCAAATAGAATTCTCGATGCTGGAGCTCCCAAAGGATCTACAAAACGAAAGTATGTTTCGATGTCCATCAAACAAAAAGTGGAATTGCTGCAAAAAATGGATTAAGACATGAAGAAGGTGACAGAGAGGTTAGTGAGAACGAAAAAATTTTGTGTGACAAGTTAGTCAGTATTCTCGGCCACAGCAATTACGGGACTTGAACAGCGGAACTTTGTAACTGAACAAGAAATTATGTCTGTTTATAGAATTAAAGAGAAAGTATTATCACATAAAACGAAGCAACTAAACAACTTACATTGAAAGAAATGTTTAATAAAGTAAACAAATAAATATTAAGCTTTCTTTTTTGTAAATTTTGATACCCTTTAGATCATAATTGTTCTTTATTTCATAAATTACGGTTTCATAATTTTAATTAATCCGGAAAAATCGATAATCCATAATTGCCGAAGTCCTGACGAGTCTGGATTAACGACTTTTGACTGTATTTATTTGTTTACTTTATTAAACATTTCTTTCAAACGCGCGCATGCGTAAAGCATGCATTAGAAAATTGCAACCAGAAAACTATTTGATGTGTACTTGTGATATCGATAATTACGAGGAATTTGATTTAAAATTAAAATGTTCTTTGATAAAGACATCTGTATCCTTAAGAAAATAAACTTGTGATAATTAAATAATATAATTCAGTTTGAACATCCTAATATATTTTTTTTTTTATCAGAAATATAAATATGTGGTAAAAAATATGAAGTTTTCCAGAGCTGTTTCTTTTCTTTTTCTTTTTTTTTCTTTTTTTTTTTTTTTTTTTTTAATTTTTTTATCAAAATTGTTTAAAAAAACGGTTTGTTGTCTGGAATCTTGTTGATTTAAAAACAGCATCTAGTATGAACAAAATTGGATTGATGTTATGGAATTCGCAGATACTTTTAAAGCTGATATAAAGGGAGAGATGTATATCCAATTTTAATAAAACATTCTTCACAATGAAAAAAATACCCTCATATTAATGCTGTTTTAAAAGGATTTCAATCTAAATATTTATCAGTGGCAGATTTACATTGTTGGAAACCATGAGTATCCAATGAGTCAAATTTTTGTTATTTGTTTATGAGGGCTCCTTTCCCAGGGCTCAGTGTGTACCATAATTTTGGATAGATAAGCCACCCTGGTGTATACAGTGCATACATGATAATTCACTGGAAAAAAATGAAAGGTCATCGGATAAGCCGCACTGTCATATATGTCGCAGCAAAGCATTCCAAAACATGGCACTTAATAGTCATTTGTTCAGTAATTCCCTACCATATTGATATAATCATCATCAATAACATTTTATATCATTTACAACATAATCAGTAATATATAAATAAATAAGGAAGAAACATCTTTACCTTGAACTTGCCAAAAACGAACTTTTACGATTTCTAATAGATATTATTTTTACGGTTTCGGTAAACTTAGTTTATGAGCATAAATTACTATATTATGAAAAAGAATACATAAATTAGATAAACAAACGGAATTCTCTAATTAAATTAAACTGCATTTATTTATACAAAACCTTAAAAATCCGACTCGTCAATGTCAGATTGAAATAAATTTAACAAATGACCATCAAGGTCAATTTCATCATTCTGTTCTAAATCCCTTCTTTCATCGTCACTATCTTCAATTTTTTTGAATGATTTCCAATTTAATGAAAGTTGATATGATTGTTATCAGCTCGAACTGATTGTCATGCTTTATTGATCCATAAGGCAGCCTCCTCATATGAAGCTTTTTTCATTCACTCAGAATTTGTGAAGGAATGGAGTCCGCTTTGCATCCATTCCTGCCACTGCTTTCGTAGTTTATGCTTGAAAATTATATTGATAGTGAGATCAAGTGGCTGTAAAAATTTTTTAAGCCCATCTGGTATTACTGAGATATCGGTGGTAAGTTTTTTGGCTTCAGATCTTACCATATCTGCTAAATGGGATCGCTTTGAATCCAAAACAGTGAGTCTTCGGGGTTGAAAAAAGCACCTTTTTTTAAATAAATTTCTCTCGGCCAAAACAACATCACCTCTTTGCACATGCATCCTCTTTTGTTGGCATAAATAATAACTCCTTTAGGGAAGTTTCCTTTCAGAATTGTCTTTCTTTTGAAAATTATCAAAGGGGTTAACCTCTCTCCATTGGCGGCACAACCCTAAACACAAGTAAAAGAAGTCTTTTCATTCTCGGTTGTTAACTCTGAAATACAAGTAATTTTTTCACTAATTAATGAACAGTTTTGCTCGGAGAACAGTCAAAAGTAACAGACACTTTATCCATATTAATTATTTGCCCTCTTTTCAAATTTTGTTCTTTAATTTTCTTAGATGTGTACTCCAAAAAAGCTATCTTTTATTCAAGCCAGTATAATCACTTATAAGCTGCGGCTTATCTACCCGAAATTACAGTACTTGCAAGAATATCATAATTTCGAATAGATATTTGGCTTCTCCAGTTAAAAAATAAAAAAGAAGAAGAAGATAAATTTGGAATTGAAGAGCAAGAAAGACTTAGACTCAACGTCAGAAGTTTAGAAATTGTTTTAAAGGTAGGAATTCAACTGACAATACTTGGCCATTATGTAGAATTGCACCTTCTCCCTCATTCTTGATCCTTTGAGAATTCTTGAAATCTGCTTGAAGTTTCTTCAGACCTGGCCCTGTATACAAGTGGCTTCTCAGCTTTGAGTCAGTCAACAGTGAAAGTTCCTAGTGGTTATATCATGATTCTTAGTAATTCTTCCATGAGTTTTCTATGCATTTATTTTCTGTATGAGTTCATTTGTGTAACTTGTAGTGTTCCTTTGTAAAAGTGATAGTAAAAATAAGAAACTATATGAAATTGCTACCTCTTAAAAGCAGATTCTGTGTACTAATGTTTAAAGAATGTGGGAGGCCACTATGAGTCGCTCTTGCCGTATATTAAATAAGGTGGTTATCTTGAGGCATTGTCATGAGCACAAAACTGTGCTCAGGAAAAGCAATCATTGGTGTCTCATTTAAACATTTTACCCCTTCCTTTTATGTTGTATTTTAATTTAAGCCTGCATTATAATGTCGTTGCATAATAACAAAATTAAACTGTAATTGCCTCCTATAAATAGCTCTAAAAATTTTAAATAAATAATAAAGAAATATGTGTTTGAATTGAACTGCACATAAAGATTAACTTGCAGAAACTAAATTTATTGCAACAACATTATGATGCTCTCTGAAATAATGTAAAATATCTGTTGTAACACAAAGTGGCATGTTTTAGTGAACTATCGAAGAACCACTTAGGCAACTTTAAGTTAGGAATAAATTGAGATATTGTAAAGATAAAAAATTTTAAATATAATTTAATGGACATTGCTCAACTGTTTAAATTTCTCCTTATTTTACATTTTCCTACCAGCGGGAGAGGCAAATAGCTCTGGTGTGCTTTGTCATATTCAAATAACCCAACCTAGCCCTGTAATATGATTCTTAAATATTATTAACCTATAAAATATCATATGGTCCAAAGGGGCTCCGCTGGAGGAGCTCTAGGAGGGGCTCTGTAAGTCAACAGGTTTGGGAACAGATGGTCTAAGCTCTCAACAGTATATATATGCAGAACTGTATATCAGCTGTACGTATATCCAAAGGTATCAGCTGTACATATTTTCAAAGGCACTTTATTTAAAGTGCTGTGAAACTTAGTTCTGTGATCTTGTGTAGCTGAATGAAGAAGTGCACGTGATTTCTGTTTAATCTAACTTCACTATTCTTAGTATGTAAGAGAACTTTAATTAACATATAAAAATGTTAGCTGTATAATAATATTTGTCTTAAGAGAACTGATAATACAGTATTTCTAAAATATACATATGTATATATGCTATTTAAGGTATGTATCAACTGTCAAGATGTTGACTGTGCTACATGTTTAGAAAGTTTAGAATTGTCTTAACTTTGTGTGTGCTTTATATATATGTATATATACTGTTTAAGGTATGTAATGACTGCTGAGATGCTTACTGCACATGTTTAGGAAATCTAGAATTGTCTAAACTTTGTATATGCTCATTTTATGAGTGACTTTTTTTTAATAATTTGTTACCATCTGTTTAATTAACTTTTAATGTTTTTCATTTGAATTGATGAGTAACATTTTGCTCAATAAGTATGAAGCTACCATGCATATTTCTTCCCTTACATGTCCCCTTACAATTTCTGTATAGGACTTGCTCCTTTCTTTAGAAATGATATTCCCTGTATGATTTTTCCTCCTTAATTTTCAAGGACCCAAATTAATAAAACTGAGAGAGGCGAAGTATATGTGTAAATATAGAATTTTGTTTTACAATCTTGTGTATTTCATATTGAATCAACTTGTTTTTCACATATTAATCTTTTACAGAGAAGTGCAGAATTGTTTGAAGAAGTATGTAGAGTCAAAATCAATCCTGATGGTGATGCTGTTCTTTGGGCTGATAGAGAACATTCAACATTTAGCACTTGCTTTAGATTAAGGTATGTGAAAATGAAAATAAAGCAAAGTAATTAACTTGTGTGCAAGTTTTGGTAATACAGTGTCATATTTCTGCTTTATTCAGCAAATCATCTGAGGAAGAAAGTAGTGATTCAGATGAAGAGTCCCAAGTATTTGAAACAGAAAATGCACCTATTGTGTTGTCATCAGAAGAAATTAAAATGGATGTGGATAATCATGAAGGTAATTTTCCTCATTAATTCTCATTTTTGACACTTAACATGAAAAGATATTTGCTTAAAATCATAGGAACTGCAGTAATACACATGACCAGGAACGGTATTTGTGTCATTGGACAGTTAAGGTTTTAGGTTGGGTTGCTTAGAAGCAAGGAAACCTAATGAATCGGTTTGTCCCATGCTTGATTTAGTAGCCTTCAAGATGAGTGAGGAAAAGGTGTCTAGTCTTTATTGCATAAAGTTCCGTACTCATAAAAATATAAAATCAGGTGAAATTTACTGCATATTGCAGGCCTTCCCAAGAGATTCAAGCATGGTATAAATGTATTGCAAATCAAGCTTGTCCTTGCTGAGTGATTGTCAGAAGGCAGTACAGTTCATGTTTCTCTGTTGCTACAAAAGCATTTTCAAGAAGTGTCATGAGACATGGATGCATTGTTAAATCCCAGAATCAAAGTGTGCAAGCATGGAGTGGAGGAAGATAAGCAGAGCAAACCCTTTGAAAGTCAGAACTTCATAGTTTGTGGGAAAAGTATTGGCCATGGTTTTTGGAACAGGATTTTCATATGTTTAAACCTCTCAAAGAAGCACTTAGAGACAAGTGATTTGAGACCAATGATTCAGAGGCTATGTTCATGCACAACTGGTTATATATCTGCTCAACCTCATTCTACGAGAATGGAACGAGAGAAACTTCCAAAATACTAGAGAAAATGTATCATAAAAAGAAGGGACTAATAATAATAATAATTTGTAGAAAGTAGAGCTTTTCTAAAACATTATTTTTTAAAGGGCTTATTTATATTTGATGGGCTGTTGATTGTTTCTTGAAACTTTAATTTCTTCTGATGAACATTTTTTAATTACTACAGTATGTTGAAAGTTAGAAAATTGTCCATTTATTATAGGGTAAAAATAACTAGTCTCTGGAAGACATGGCAAAAAAGTTAGAAGCATACATGAGTATTGCAATTATGGATAAGCATACATATATCTGTTTTGTTTTTGCATCCCCCCAAAAAAGTCTGGGGCTGAAGTTTAACTATGCTGTTGCTATTTAAAAGCTGATGCAATATATATATATGTAAAAGTATGGTATAAGAATGTAAAAACATGTAGATTTTGTAATGGAATGTGTGTGCGGAAATGGCATATTAATCTATTATAGGGTGCTGTGGAGGGATATATATAAATGCATTTTGCTGGTGTAAACTCTCATTCTCGATTTAGATTTAAAACGATATTCATTGCTACACTAACGCAGAACTCACTGGTGTACATTTTATCCATAGAGTTGTAGACAGAAACTCAGCAATTGCTCAAAGGAGGTAATCAGGAATTGTTCTATCTCTTTGGAGTAACAGTTGTGCTTTAACCACATAGATAAAATGCATATCAGTGAGCTCCACATTCATGTTGTGATACATGCCGCTTGAAATTCGCACAGGAAAGGGTGATTTATGCTAACGGAATGTTTTATCTACTATTCAACAATGTTGTGTACCACCTCAACGAGCTATTTCTGCACGCACATTCTTTCTCAGAATCTACTTATTTGGATCCTCTTCACCTGCTTGTGCATTTTTGCCAGATATTTTTGAATCAACCTATACATATATATTAACTGTGAAGTGTAAATTAGAAAAATGAGAGGAAAGCTATCTAGCTGAGAGAACTATGATAAGACATAAGCTTGTGCACTTATAGTATATAGTTCGTTCTTTCAACTGAAGCTTCCTACTCCTTAATTTCTTTTCCCCTTATGCATATTTTTCAGTGTTTGATAAGTTAGTTGTTCCCTGTTTCTGAATGAGTACGTTTTTTGTATTTATTAATTAAATTTTTTAAGCAAAGTTGATATGAACTCAGGATGTTGAAGATTTATTTAACATGTTTCTTTTTCTCTTTTCTCTTTCACATTTTGGCTGGTAAAATATGGCATCTAAGTTAGTGACACACTATGGCAAAACAAATATTGTCTGTATCATGGACTCCCTGCTTAGTTATATTAACCCGAGATTTCTAAAAAATCTGTTAAATTAATGGAAATGCTGCATTTAAAATGATTTCTTTATAGTACTCTACTTAATTTTGGATAATATATCTCAAGATTTCTAAAAATCTATTAACTTACTGGAACTGTTTTGCCTTAATTCATATCTTTAATCTCACTATTTGAATTAAAACTCGACTACAGTTTTGTCCTTAACTAAAATTGCCAGTTTGGCATCATCATTATTACTTGAGTAAAAGATGAAACACCTTCGCATTTATTAATTATTATTAATTCCTTAAGGATCAGTGCGTGGACCAAACCCGCTGAAATGGATCGTCGCCACCAGCCTGTGCATTTTCAGCAATTAACCCTAATTTTCTTTTTGGGGGGGGGAGTATAAAATCAGCATTTTGATATAATGACTTCAATTTTTGAAGTTGCATATTTAATCTACTTGTTTTTAATATGCATTAATATAAAGAATATCACATAAATAGAAATAAATTAAACAGGCAAAATACTAAAATCGTAATTATATACACAAATAAATATTATAAACATGAAAACAAAATTACAAATACGAAATTAAAAAAAGAAAACTAAGCAAGACTTTACCTGTAGGTAATTAAATTCCAATTTAAAAATTCTGCTGCTTGTGGATTAATTCAAAGCTAGGATCTACACACAGTCCTACATTGCATATTTTGCACTCAAAATATGTTGTTTGCTTTCGTTTTTCCTTGTTTTTAGCGCACACAATGCATCTTCTCCTACCTTTATTACCTTTTCTATCGACGTAAATTTTCGGAAAATTCTTCCATTCAGATGGTATCACAGTTATGTATCTCGGTCTCATAGCCATGGCCAACAGAATGAAACTGAATATAACCCCAACATATGTCCCAAAACTTCTTCAAAAGACACCCAGAGATATTTTATCCTCAAACCCTGTGTGACATCATGTTTATGTTAGAAAACTTCCTGTTTTTCTAGATCACCACGATCTAGTGTCCGCCACGATGACCGGAAAGTGATCAAGGAAAGACCCCACCCCTGTTGGCGGTATATCCGTTGCTGATCAAGTCAATATATACATTATATATAAAGTAAATACATTATATATCATAATATAATGCCTGAGTCATTGTATAGAATAACCTATTAAATCGAGTTAGAAAAACAAAAATGCTGGCTCTTTCCTGAGAAATGCGAGCAAGTAAGATGCATTACGCATTGAGAAAGCTGATAGTCTTTCTCCTTTTGTAATAATGCTGCAATGTTACTTTTTAATTAACCAAGAAAGCTTATGTTAAGTTTCAAAATAAATAGAAAAAAAAGATCAACTGGTCTTGAGGTTTTCAATCACAGAAGTTCGGCGACGTTACACCTGCTGTAGTCAGCTGAATGCACTTTCCTAACAAAAACGAAAATAAGGAGGTGGATTACTTTCTAATAACAAAAAAGCGAAAAAATTCCTAACGAAATAAACAAAAATGCCTGTGCCCCTTTAATTCACTGGTGCACTTATAAAGATCCGTGATTCTCAGTTTGTTTATACCAATAAATCCATCAAAACCAGAAGCACAGAACAGAAACTAAACTTGAAGGTCAAATGAATGAACCCATGTAATAACAGTTACCATTTAGCTCCATCTACTGGCTTTTAAAAATTCAAATAAATTGTTCCGTATATGCGACGCTGGGCTGCAGAGATTGGTCGGAGCTCTTCGCATATACGCGACGCTAGGCGGGTAGGAGTGGAATCGTTGCGTCGTGTATACAGGATGCTGGTCTTGAAAGGGTTAATTGAACGTGGGTTAGTTTGTTCTCCTTGAAAAGTCAATCAGTTTCTGATCAATGGTGATAATTACTTGATTTATTAATTTTCATATCAAAAGTTTGAATTTCTATTTTTCATGATTTAAATTCAAGTTCCTTTAAAGATATTTTCGGGATTAAATTTTCATACATCTGGGTTAATTCATTTAGATACATTCTACTAAATTTATATTAGGAGATAATATAATCAAATATTTGTTTAGCAGATAGGTGTGTTTATTTTAATTTTGTTCAAATAGTAGTATACTTTTATAGTGTTTCAGTAGTTTTCTGTTTGTATTGTATTATGTGCAAACACTAGTGCATGTGTGTGAAAAAACATGAAAGTTTTTTTAATTTTATATAGCAGTAAAACTTTAGTTTTATCAGTTGCAATAACAAGTATTATGTTTTATTTTCTTCTTTCAGTGTGTTAATTTCTTTTGATTGTTCAGGATAATATTTTGTTGGAATTAAAACTCTTGTCTCTGGTTCTTCAGTATGTGCTGAATCAGTCATCTTGCTTCATTAATCCTTAAAAATTAGTTGTTTCTGAAAAACAATTTCCAGTGCTAATCCAAAAATTATTTATTTTTGTTTATTTACTAAAAATTATGTATTTTAAAATTATTTATTACTTTTGACTAATCGCACAAAATTTATTGAACTTATTTGCATGGAGTTTTTTAAGTTTTTTCTCCATGTTGTTTCAGATTGTAAAAATTGTTTAAAGTAATAGCTTTTCAAGATTGCAGCAGACTTCAGGAAACGGAAAATATAATATTTACAAAATTGTCTCCTGACAAAGCTTTCTGTCTTCATCTAAGTTATGTCTTTATGTTTTATGTTAACTTTTCCAAGATGATATATTGTGATTTAAAGTTTTTAGATCATAGCCGTCATCCCCCAAGAAAAATGAGAGATTTGTAACCCTGACATTGAAATACAATTCTTTGTTATTTCACATTTTTATTCCTGTTACATATGGCTTTATTGGAAGGATCAATCCAAACATATAAAACAGATCAAGTATCACACAAGAACAATAATATATAATTTAAAAAAAACATTTAAAGTAAGAAGCAGAACAAATGGACATAGGAACAAATGTAAAAAATTATAAATTTAAGCAAGGAAAGGACCATCTTATTTCTTCTGTCCATTTATTTGTTTTTATGAAAGTATTTATTTCAAATATACATCAAAATACTATTCAAACATGCCAAAATGTAGTGCCTATGATATATTCAAATGAAATAATTAAATGATAGTTGTATCTGTTAACTTTAGATGAATCCTGAGAATTTTTTTAAATAATGGCTGAAAGAGCAGTGGGGCAGGAATTTGTATTTAAACACAGACTTAAAAGCTAATTTGCCATAACTTGTCATATTCATTATCATCAGGCATTTCTGTGTGCCACAAATAGATCTGTAGACTTGAACAAAATGTTAACATCAATCTCTAATTATTTTAGCTCTGCCTGGAGAATCCAAAGCCATTGAATTCTTGAAAGATATTTGCTGAGTTTATTTTTTCCTAGTTCATTTTGGGGATTGTGTTTGCTGTAAACTTTTCATATGTGATTCACTTCCTAGGAACCAAAGGGCATTATTTTGCATTATTTTTTCGTATGTTGCGTTTTAATCCTAAGAAATTCCAAATGCTGGTCTTCTTCCTGTTAGTGTTTTAAAGATTTATTATTTATCTGTAAATTGTTCATCTATATGTATTATTTTTTAAGCTGCTGTTCTGTTTTAAATATTTGTTACATTTCTTTAAATAATGCACTTACATGTATTACTTTGTAAGCTATTCTTTTTATCAATATACATATATTTTTTAATACTTTAAGCAATATTTGATGGTGTTCCCATGGATGTAGCTCCTGTTACAATTCCTAATCCTTGGGAAAGTACTGAAACAACGAGTTCTGATGATCAGGGTAACTGGGCAGATTTCAGTAACTTTGCTGCATTTGGGGCTTCCACTTCTGAGCAGTAAGAATTTTTTAAGTGCTTTGTGCAAGTTTCTTGATTTTCTTCAAAAAATTCATATTATATTCCTTAAGAATGAAACTAGTTCTGTTCGGTTCTAGTGTATTTAAGAATTTTTATTTATTTCAAAGTGTGTTTTAACATTTGTATATGTCTGAAAGATAAAGCACCTTTCGAAACTTTTAAGGTGTTTAATGTTTTGTTCAAAAACTTAAAATTTCACTTGTCCCCAGAATTGCCTTAATACAATCAGTTATTGTATTTGCATTTTTGTTACTTGAATAATTTAGCTGCATTTCAGTAACTTCACTGTATTTGGGTATTCCTCCCACTTCTGAGCAATGAAATTTTGAGTTCTTCATATGTATTTTCAAAATAATTCAAATTCTGTTTCAAAAAACTTGAAATAGTTCCATTTTCAGCTGCACTGTGCGTAAAATATTTATTTTCCCTTATTTTAAAATCTATGTAGTGTGTATGTATGAAAAATAAGCTACCACTCAAAAGTTGAGAAATTATGTTTTCTAGGATTAACTTGACAAAAACTTTGAAGTTTTGCATTGGATATCGTGAAAATTTAAAATTTTACTCATTTCTTCTTTCTTCAGTGATTTATTGCATTTTTCATGGTAGCTACATTACAAGTCTGTTAGTTTTATTTTTGAGAAGAATTAATGTTTTTGGAGCCTTCTTTCTTGTCAGTTACCAGGTACCAGTTTCCTGGTGTGATTTCTGAAGATAGTTATAGTTTTGGATGAACTGTGAAAGTTCTGTGTACTTAAACCTTTTATTTCTTAACATTGCCTAATTTGCTAAAATTTTTGTTTGTAAATTTTATTTATTAAAAAAAAGGGTACATTAAAAATTTTTTGTTGCCAAATTTTAATTTTGCCTGGTGTAGAAGTCATTCAGCACATGATGCTCTTTTTATGTAGTCAACAAAATATTTTTGACTATAACATTTTTAACTTAAATAAGTAGATTTGATGTTTCATATCTTAATGCAGAAAAATAAAATTGATGTAAATGATTGGAAGAAATGCTTTATTAAAAATATTGTAAACTTAAAAACTGAAAAAGATAATGTTAATTCTAGTATGTAGACTTCCTTTTTATTGTACTGGATAAAGATAACTAACATTGACTGGCAAAATACTAAAATAAACCTTGTTGTTTCATTAACCCCTTGGCCTAAACGATATCTGCAAATTGTGTGAGCTAGAGTAAACAAGAAAGTCGGTCGTTTGCTGTGCCATTCAAATATTCAGCCATGTACCCGAACTGGCGCAAAATGTATACTTTTCATAACTTATGTATTTCAGTGTAATGAAAGGAATTGTGAAATAAACAATGTTTAGGTACAAAGAGTAATTTTAAGACATCTAGGTTGTATTCATAATCAATTGATCAGTTGACAAAAATAATTGCATGATGCGTATGATGGGTATAAGAGTTTTTTAATTCTTTGTACGAAATTATATTTGAAAAAACAAAATACTGACGTTACAATCAAAGGAAAAATATTCGACGTAGAATAACTCCAATCGCTTGTTCTAATAACAATATGTGGCATTTTATGCAAAAATTCCTCACCACAAATTAGACTCGTGCCTTTTGTTTATGACACAAATTCTTTACCACGAGTCAGACTCGTGCCTTTTGTTTATGACACAAATTCTTTACCACTTGTCAGACTCGTGGCTTTTGTTTATGGCACAAATTCTTTACCACGAGTCAGACTTGTGTTTGTAGGCCAAAGGGTTAAATGCAAATTAAGGTGGTGATGTGACATTTTGTTTTTTACATTTTCATACATGACCTTTTAGCATACAGTTTCAGTCATTGTTTTGTATTCAAAACCACCCAGCCAGATATATTGGAAATGAAAGTTGATATATTTTCAGTTCTGCTTAAGGGAGAGAAACTTCCCTGCTTTTAAATATGGATAAAAAAATGTAGTCATTTCTTCCTAGGTAATCTTTGAAATGCTTGATAATCCTGAATTATGGTCCGTGATGTACTTAATTGAACTTGGGGAGATTAAACTGATCAATCGGTACTCTTTTGTTTTGGAAGGAGATGTGCAAGGACAGTTACTTATTGAGATCAGGCACTATTGCCTTCTTTTCAAAAAGGGAGGAAAAACTGCATATGTATTATAACATGCTGTTAAACTATTTTTGTCCTAATACTTTTAGGCATTTAACTGTAAGTAAACATTTAGAAATCGGTGTAAAATAACCCAAAATACATCCACCAAAATCATGACTTTTAACGCTTTTATAAATGCAAAGCATGATGGAATTGAGTACATATAGTTTTGTCTACTTACTAGGTTATATTTATAGACAAAAGTAAACCTGGGCTTATTTGTAAGTAATGCATTAAGCATCTGCTGCTATCATCATGGTCTTAGTTCCAACTTAATTCAATGCTCTGCATGTTGATAAGCAGAATACAAACATCAGGTCATCATACATACTGCTGTATGAAATTGTCATCCAAATAATAGCTGATGTTCTCCTATTTTTCACAACATGATTAATTCTTGGTTGAGACATTGTTGAGTCTTCATGTGAAGAGAAACAGATGTTTCTTATTGGAATGTTATATCGTTGCCCTGATTAAAATTTTATATCTTCACCTCATTTAATTTTTGCATTCTCTTCCTCTTACATTATGTGTCCACTCTTTTTAAAATTGTTCATGACATTTTTCGTTATTAGACACTAAAAAGTAAAGCATGAGTCATTTCTCTGTTTGTGTTTTTAAAATAGCTCATTTTATATCTTATTTACCATTACTCATTTGTTGAACAACTGAAAAATTATTAATAAACTTTTTATTAGCTCTGAAGCAGTTTCTGTTGCTATGGAAACTTCTGATAGCGCCACTTCATGCGAAAAATGTGGTAAGGAACTTCTGAATTTTCTAATAAAAAGTAATATGAAAATTATTTTAAAACAGTATTGAGGTACTTCTGACAAAATTGTGTGAGCTGAGAGTGAGACTGGACAAGCACTAGACATTCAATATTTTTGCTTTTCATGTAAACATAATCCATTAGTGGCCAAGTGGAGAGACTACTGAACAGTGGTAATATGTCCTGACCTTGAAAGTCTTGTGTGTCTGAAATAAATGAAGTAATTTGTAGCACCTGGCAGCCAAGATTCTTGGAATATTTTTCTTTCATCATTTCAGCACATACTTTTAGAATATTCAGTACAAAGTCCGAAATCCAGACTCATTGGGACTTCAGCAATTCTGGATTTAGGATTTTTCTGGATATTAGATCATCAGTTTAAATCTGCTAAAATGGCATGCAGAAATTATACAATTAAAAATATGAAATCGTAATTTATGAAATAAAGAGCAATTATGATGTAAAGGCATCAAATTTACAAAAAAAAAAAAGCTTAATATTTTATTTTGTTTACTTTATTAAACATTTCTTTCAATTTTTTGTTCAAGTTTTCATTTTTTGCTAATACTTTTTTAATTTATAAACAGACATAATTTCTTGATCAGTTACAAAGTTGCACTGGTCAATCTTAATTGCTACCGACTAACTTGTCAGTAAATTTTTTTTCATTTTCAGTAACCTCTCTGTCACTTTCTTCACTATTGGTAGTGGTATTTTCTGGATCTATAACCAGAATTTCGCCGTCCGTTAATTAATTGTGTCATTGTCATCGCAATGAAAAACTTCTGTTATAACATCTTCGTTTATTACTTCATTTATTTTCCTTACAAAATACATTAACTGGAAAATTTCACCTTTAGTTTGCGATATCCGAAAACCTTCAAATTTGCGGCTATCATCTTCAGCGTCCTCACCACGAAATATGGTAGCTGGCTTTAAATTATACCAAGCATTTTTTAACATATCTGAAGACACATCCACACATGCAATGCTCCACACAGCAGATTGTGTGCTAAAATATTTCAAAAATTCTTTAATAGTCTTGTCATTGTTCAAGAAAGTTAACATAGAAATGCTACTTTATATTTGCATTTCAGTGCACGCACTATTTTGATATCCATAGGCTGAATGGCAGACTTACAATTTGGAGCGAAGAATAATACGGATACACTAGCTTTCACTAAAATTTTAAGTGAAGGAAGCCGAGCAGTTGTCTACAATCAGGACTATTCCTGAGTCATCAAGTAAACTAACTAATTTCAAAAGTTGCCGAGTCTCGGGTATAAAATGATTTATTAATGCTTGTGTCATCCATGCTCTTTTATTTTCACAATATATAATAGGGAAAATCATTAATCCTTTAAATGCTTGAGGTCATCATGTTTTCCGATTACGAAAAGTCTGCACTTGTGCGTTCCTGCAGCATTTGCGCACGCTAAAATTGTTAGTCTCGGTTTCAAATCTTTGACACCAGTTGGAGCCTTTTCTGTAGAGGTTGCCAAGGTATTTCATGGTACATATACCAAAAGACCAGTTTTCCGAATTGTAAATTGTTCTGGAGATAATGGTGATTAGTATTGTTCAATGAATTCAGCGCAGGTGTCAGCACTTCAGTATCAGCCGAAGCTTTTTCAACTGAAAATTTGAATTGGCTTAACCATGGCGATTTTTAAATTTTGTTAACCAGCTTGTCAAATATGTGCACTCTGTTTAAGTTCATTTCTTCATGAATATTTTGGCTTGAGCCATTACCATTAGACCTATCAATGGCACACCTTCGCTGTGACGCTGTCTGACACATTCGATCATCACTTTGTCATGATTGTCACTTTTAGTATAACGAATACTTTTTCTGTTATTCGTTGTGAGTGGGGTGTCGGAATTCAGAAAAAATTCAAAAGGTTCCTTTTTCTTTTTATGCCAGATACTTTCCAGTGCCATAGTCCTCACATAATTTTGAGTGATAGACCATTTTCAATTTTTTGCAGCAATTCCCTTCTTTTAATGGACATCCAAACATGCTTTCGCTTTGTATATCCTTTGAAAACTCTTTTTTGACATAATCAAAAGTTCAAGATTAATTTTTATAAAAATTTCTGCCGACATATTCTGCCGCCACTTCTGATTTTATGGTGAATAACATATCAGTTATTCTTAATTAAAATGGCACTAAATGTAATCTTTTGGCCAATGAGTTTCATTAACAAAATCCATTTTTAGTATATGAGAAGAAATTTTCGTTGTATTTTTCCTGGTCAACATTTCTTAGAGCATTTAAAAATCTATAATCGTCACCAGCGTAATGTCCGCATAAAAGGTTGCCATACTCTTGTTATTCAATTACTGATATAAAAAAAGTTATAAAAATATAAAAATACTAAATCGTAATTTATGAAATAAGGAATAATTATAATCTAAAGGGAACCAAAATTTACAAAAAAAGCTTAATATTTATTTGTTTACTTTATTAAACATTTCTTTCAATGTAATTTGTTTAAGTTGCTTCCACAAAAATTCAAAAAACGTTTCTTTAATTTTTTTTATGTCATATACAGTTTTTTTGCATTGCCATACTCCTCGTAATTTTGAGACGGATATGCCCCTTTATCCATTTTTTTGCCACTTTTTTGTTTTAATGGACATTGAAACATGGTTACGCTTTACAGATCCTTTGGCAGCTCCAGAATTGGACACTCTTTTCGACATAATCAAAAGTTCAACCTTAGTTTTTATAAAATTGCCATAATATTAACAGTCTGCAAAAAATAATAAGCTGGATCAAACTAGAAGATTAGAGAGCAGCACAGTTCGCTACATTAACTGAAATGCCCTAGAATCAGTAAAGATAATTTTAACCTGGCTGAATAGCATCCATTATACATTCACTAGGTTGGCGACAAAAGCCAAGTTGTTTCGCTAAATTTTGTCGTGCTTCTATTGCGAACTGAAGTAAGATACTCTTGTTATTCAGTTACTAATATAAAAAAAGTTTAGATATTACTGCATGAGTTATTGCTCAAGTTGTCATATATTGATAAACATACAGAGATGAAAGCAAAATGGAATAAATAATGATTTGCCAGATCGGCGTCAAGGATATAAAATAGGTGAATATTTCGGTTTGAGATGTGTGCAAAATTTTTAAGTAATTGTTGTCTCCACATGTTTTATTATGGAAGAAAAAATCAAATGCGCATGTGTGAAGCATACCAAAAAAAAAAAAAAAAAAGGTTTGTGGCTGTGAGGTCCATATTTTAGATCATTCTGGATAATGGATGTCTGGATTTCAAACTTTGTACTGTACTTCCATTCTGCATACTTAATGGTACAAAAAACTGCTGTGACAAAATTCAATAAGGTTTGCTGCTGTGTTTTATTGAAGAAAATCATATTTTTGTTCAGGGGGGGATTAAATAGAGATTCAAGCAAAAAAATGAAAAGATGTATATGGTATGGCATTTCATGTACCTCAAACATGCAAGGAGATTATAAAAACTGTGAAGTAATGGTTAAATGCAAATGCCAAAGCTTTACCTAGAAAACATTTTTTTATTTAATTTAATTTTTTTTTTAAATTTTTTTATTTTATTAACGCATTTCAGTGTTTATAATATGTCTCATTTCTGTTACAGTTTAGTTGCAGTCTGAAGAAATTTTTACACATTCACATTAAAATTCTTTTAGTGAAGCAATGTATTTTACAATAAATGTTGCTAAGAAAATAGTTGCTTTACTTTTAAATGAACAGAAATTAAAATTGTCCAATCTTTATAGTATGATTTATTGCTGCTATATTTGTTTATATAAATACTTGAAAACACTTCAGCTTTACTAATTTATTTTGTAATATGTTTGAGGAAATAATTTTTGTTTTTAAAACAAAAGAGCAAATTATAATCTTCCATTTTATATGTGCAATTAATTTCGTTTTGCTAATTTTTGTCATATATGCACTAAAACTACTATTTCAAGCCATATGTTTATCCTTTTTTATTGGGACATTTTTTGATATTACTTTACTACTATTTTAAACCAATTTCTTATGTACAAGAATTTATAGTAGTAAATATTTTCTTTTTTTCTTTTCAAAAGATTCTACACTATAAAAGCAGTTAAATAAATATTAATGTTGCTTTGCTGCATTCTTCAAACCAGAATTTGAACACATGTATCCATCTTTTTTATCATACATTTATACGACATATTGTGCATATGCACTTAATATCACTAGTTGGAATTGTTTTTTCCCTGTGTGTGAATGGTATCTAGTTGGGAAATGGAAGATCCATGGTCTGAATCCCGGTATAAGCATAGTTGATTTCTCTTGTTCCTCATATTTCAAAAATATCTATGTGTTATTATAGTGATACCAAAACTGAAATGTTATGGATAACAATTCACCGTACCTAGAATGTGGCCAACTAGATATGCCTCTCCAGTCACCACTTAAATGGGAAAAATATGAAAACAATTATTAAATGTCCCCGTGCATGCTGTTTTGCTGGTACATCCAGCTAGCAACTGTATGCTCTGTCATTCAAATCTTAGCAACAACATGTTTGAATTTTCCTGTTTCTTGGTTTGAAATATCTAGTAAGCTATACATAATAAATAGTATACATATAAAACAAGATATTTTGTATGACATGAAACTGATAACTAGGCAATGAAGAATTAATTCTTTGCATTTTTATTTAAAAGAACTTTACTGGGAAGAAATTAGTATTTTGTTAATACAAAAAGTACTGGTTTGTGAAGAAATGCTCAGTTCAGCCATCTTGGTACTCTGTAATGTGATATATTAATAAGAACAATCTGATATCAGGCTAAAAAACTGAGTGCCTATTATTAAGTTACTTATTTATAATTATGTATAAAAACATTTTGTTTGCAGATACGATTTCAGTTAATTAAAAGTTACAAATGACAAATGTTGAATTTTTTTCCAAAATTCATTATTATTAGTAAATCTGATTTCCTTTATGTCG